TATTCGATAAAAGATATTCAACATTCCATGCAACAGTTTTCATACAAACATCACGTAAATCATCAAGAGAAAATTGTTTTGCTATTGAATACCAATTAATACTATTACGAACATTAGGTGGTTTTGCTTTAAGCATCATAAATTGTGCACATAAATTTCGTAAACTAAAATGCAAACAAAATTCAATTCAAAATTTTATATTTTCGATCTAAATACATACGATTGTACATTATATTTATCGGCAAGATATAATAAACCAATAACACTTGTTTCATGAAGTGTTACTTTTGCTGTATAAAAAAATTTAAGAAATCTATTGAATAAAAGATGTATAGATTTATATGAATGATTATAGATATGATTTTACTTTTCAAAAACATCACCATGACATTCATCTTGTTCTTCAAGTATTATTTCTGCTTCTGCTGATGTCCAATGATGTGAATAAAGAAGTGTAGCTAAGACATCACTTGATTTAGCCAAGATAAATTTATGTGCATAATAACTATTTGTTCCAACACGTAGACGAATATCGGATAAGAATGGATTATTAAAATATTTACTAGTTGATTCAACATGTTCATTTGTTGCATTTAATGTAATTTCTACACCGGTTTCAACTGTTGTTGATAATAATGTATGATGAACATTATTATTAGTTGAATCAATAAGTTCATCAAGTGATATATCTGCGGAAGGATTAGGAAGATTCATTAAAGGTAATACATGTTCAGCAAGAAAATCATCATCCATTTTTTTGTTGTAAATTAGTATAATCTAATGAAAAAAAATAACAAGATATTCATTAATAATATATTCTCATCTGATAATTGATATGATGACACATACTCATGTCATTAAATATACAACTATGTATGGGAAATAAAAAAGATTATATTATATTAATAATATAATTTTGAATAAAAATGATATTTTATTTTTAAAAAACATAAATATAATTTTTTTTAAAGAATATTTTTTCTTAACAGTATAATCGATCTGACGACTATGATTGTTGCAAGATGCGACAACCAATAGGTGAGCGCGAATAATATTTTATATCCGGGATGTCACTATACAACATGCATTATATATACTCCGATTAAATTAATTAATGAATTTTAATAGAAGTTCAAAGGATGTTATCAAGTGAAAATAATAGATATATAATTACAAGTATTTTATTTATTTGCAAAACTAAAAGAAGTATACACACATCAGTAGACCAAAAAATGTGAAAAATTAATCTAATGATACAGATTTTAAAAGTGGATTTTGTTTTCTTAAAAATGAAAGTGTGTCTGTATAAGGTGAATAAAATGAAGATCCAGTTTGTGTAAATTGATCTAACTTTGTTGTCATATATGTTGCTGGTTTAGTAGCAAGTGGTTCTTGTCGTTGCGATTGCCGTAAATGTTCACGACGATCAATAATAATTTTTTCAATTAAATCTGATGGTATAACAGTTCCTTTTGCTTGTTTCGATGCAAGAAGACGAAGACGTATATGTTCAAATGGTTTTACAGCATGTAAACTACGATGAAATACAGCTTGAAGACCAAATTTAATATAATCTAATGGAATATACCAAATAATATTATAAACCCAAATAATGCCTAAAAATAAAAATAAAAAACAATTCATTTTTTTAATTTTGAATAAAAAAATGATGATTGACCTGCCCAACTCCATCCACAACCACGTATATCTGTAAAACCCCAATCAGCATAAACGGCAATAAATGTTGTAATTAATTGTGTTAAAACAAATGCAGCAATTAATAATATTGTTGGTCTTTCTGTAAAACAGAAACCACGTGAACGTGTTATGAATATTAGACCTTGACTAATCGATGATACTTGCAAATAAATCATTGCATGAAGATGCTGATGTGAGTAACCTCCATCAGATGTTTGTTCTATAGACTCGACACCAAAATGATCTTGAAAAAAACTTGTATCAACAGCAATTGCAAAGAAAACAACGGTTGATGCCGATAAATAAAGACCATAAACAATAGCTGATATAAATACTTGTTTTAAACGCCATTCATTTGGTGTTGGTGATGGTTCAACACGATCTTTTGATATTGTCATTATTGTGCCATCATTTAATATAGCCATGATTAATATCATAAATGGTGGAAAATCATAACGGTATATAAAAATAAGTAAAGCAAATCCAACAATTATACGAATAGTAACTGAACATGTATAAATAGCATAACTCGTCATACGAGCAAAAATTTGTCGAGAACCAAGTATAGCATCAATAATAACTGAAAGACCTGGTTCAGTTAATACTATCGCAGCAGCTGAACGGGCTGCATCACTTGCATCTGATACAGCAACACCAACATTAGCTCTAGATAATGCCGGAGCATCGTTTACTCCATCACCTTTAAATAAAAAAAAACATATTGTAGAGAATAATAGAATGAAAAAATTTACCAGTCATAGCAACCATATGACCCATATCTTGAAGTCTTTTCACAATTTCAAATTTATGCTCTGGAAATACACTAGCAAATCCATCAGCATCAAGAATAGTTTTATTAATTTCATCTTCATCCTTTGATGATTCGCTTTTGTCATTTATTAAATCTTCATATACGTACATTGTATCACCCATACCTAAACGACGTCCAGTTTCCTTTGCAATTTCTAATTGATCACCAGTAATCATTTTTACTCGAACACCTAATTCAAGTGCTCTTTTAATTGTTTCAGCTGTATCATCTCTTGGTGGATCAAGTATTGGTAAAAGTCCAATTAATTGAAAATTTTCATCTCCATGAGATAAAGCAACAGCTAAGCCACGTAATCCTCGACGAGCAAATTCATTAACATCTTTTCGTACTTTATCAGCATGTTCAGTTGTTTTACATAAACGTAGAATTGCATCTGGCATACCTTTTGATACTCGATAAGTTTTTGAATCAGATTTATCTTGATAAGTTATTTCAGTTCGTTTTGTTGTTGGATCAAAAGGAATAAATGACTTAACTGTAATAGAATCATCTATCGAATCAGCTTTACCATATGATTCTAATACACATGTATCACTAAAATAATATCATCAAATAAGTTAAATTGTGATCATTTATTTGAGAAGTATACATACATTGCATCAGGATTTTCTCGATTACTGGCATAAGCAGCATATCGAATAATATCATCTTGTTCAATATCAGTATATTTAACAATTGTTTCTTTATCAATAATTAGTTTATTAAGTGTTAATGTACCAGTTTTATCTGAACAAAGAATAGTTACAGCAGCAAGTTCTTCAATAGCTGTAAAACGTGTTACAATTGCTTTACGATCAGATAATTGTTTCGCACCAATAGCAAGTGTTACTGATAAAACTGTTGGCCTAAAATAGAAACATAAGAATAAATATTTTTCGTTTTCATTTTACTTTTATAAATTATTACTTACATTGCAATAGGTAATCCTCCAATAAGTAAAACTAATATATTATTAATACCACGGCGATAACTATATTTATATCCAACATACATAACAAAAATTTCAGCAATAATAAAAATTACAATACCAATCATACAAAAATTGCCAATTTTAGCTAAAATTTTTTGTAAATGACCCATTTCATCTTTTGCTCCACCAACCATTTGAGCTGCATGACCAAATTGGGTATTTAATCCAGTTGCTACAATTATTGCTTCACATTCACCTTGTTTACATGTTGTTGATGAAAGTACAATATCACCTACTTCTTTTGTAACTGGTAATGATTCACCAGTTAATGCTGCTTGATCAATTGAAATAACTCCACCTGGTGATGAAATAATTCGAGCATCAGCTGGTATTATATTGCCTAATTTAATAGCAACAATATCTCCAGGTACCAATTGACTAGCTTCAATTGTTGTCCAAGATGCATTATTACGTTTGACGCGACATTCAGGTGCTAATGAAGCCATTAATGCTTTAACAGCATTACCTGCTCGATATTTTTCAATATAACCAATTGTAGCATTGATGAAAAGAAGTAAAAGAATACCAACAAAATCAGGCCAGTCAGGTGGTTCACCACCACCATTACTCAAAGCAATAGCAACAATAGCAGCAGCTTCCATTACCCTGAAAAAATATATTATTTATACTCATATGATATTGTCAGAAATAAGATTATGTTACCAAGAAAGAGGATTCCACATAAAAAGAAGAAATTGAAGAACTGGATGTCGTTCTTTTTGTTCGATTTTATTTTCACCAAACTAAAAAAATTTCAAAAATCAAAACTTTCTTTATGTTTGTATTAAAATGAGAGAATATTTACTTTTTCGGTACGTTCTTTAACTTGTTCATCGGTAAGACCTTTTGGTGAAGATCTAAATATTTATATAATATGATTTACATGTTATAGTGCATAATTATACTTACTCAAGTAGCTTATAAACAGTATCTAATTCATATCTATTTAAATCACATTTGTCTTTATCATATAAATCTTCAACATCAAGTGTCTTCCAATCTCCGTCAGGTGGTGATGGTGGTGGCATATTAATTCTTGTTTCTTTGTTATTTTCATCTTTTCTTGGAGACTGTTTTCGATCTGCACCTTTCTTTGAAGACTGCTTTTGGTCTCCATCTTTGTCTGAAGATTCTTTTTTCTCTTCATGTCTTTTCGAAGAGTGCTTTTGCTCATCATCTTTCTTTGAAATTTTTTTTTGTTCTTCATGTTTTTCCGAAGATTGTTTTTGCTCTTCATCTTTTCCTGGAGATTGTTTTCGTTCTGCATTTTGTTTTGAAGATTGCTTTTGCTCTCCATCTTTGTTTGAAAATTCTTTTTTCTCTTCATGTTTTTTCGAAGACTGTTTCTGCTCTTCATCTTTTCCTGGAGATTGCTTTTGCTCTGCACTTCGTTTTGAAGATTGCTTTTGCTCTTCATCACTTCTCGGAGATTGTACTCGCTCTGCACGTTTTTTCGAAGATTGATCTTGTTCTTCATCTTTTCTTGGAGATTCTTTTTGCTCTATATCTTTTTCTGAAGATTGCTTTTGCTCATCATCTTTTTTTGAAAATTCTTTTTGCTCTTCATCTTTTTCTGGAGATTGTTCTCGCTCTCCATCTTTGTTTGAAGATTCTTTTTTCTCTTCATCTTTTTTCGAAGCTTGCTTTTGCTCATCTTTGTTTTTCGGAGATTGTATTCGCACTGTAAGTTTTTTTGAAGATTGCTTTTGTTCATTATCTTTTTCTGGAAATTCTTCTTGTTCTTCATCTTTTTTCGAGGATTGTTTTCGCTCTTTATGTTTTTTCGAAGATTGCTTTTGCTCTTCATCTTTGTTTGGAGATTGTGTTCGCTCTTTACCTTGCTCAGAAGATTGCTTTTGCTCTTCGTCGTTTCTCGGAGATTGTATTCGCTCTGCACGCTTTTTCAATGATTGCTTTTGGTCATTATCTTTTTTTGAAAATTCTTCATGCTCTTCATCTTTTCTTGGAGATTGTGTTCGCTCTGCACGTTTTTTCGAAGATCGCTTTTGGTCATTATCTTTTGTTGAAAATTCTTCATGCTCTTCATCTTTTCCTGGAGATTTTATTCGTTCTGCACGCTTTTTCGATGATTGCTTTTGCTCTTCATTTTTTTCTGGAAATTCCTCTTGCTCTTCATCTATTTTCGAAGATCGTGTTCGCTCTTTATGTTTTTTCGAAGATTGCTTTTGCTCTTCATCTTTGTTTGGAGATTGTGTTCGCTTTTCAACTTGTTCAGAAGATTGCTTCTGCTCTTCGTCGCTTCTCGGAGATTGTATTCGCTCTGCACGTTTTTTCGATGATTGTTTTTGGTCATTATCTTTTTCTGGAAATTCTTCTTGTTCTTCATCTTTTTTCGAGGATTGTTTTCGCTCTTTATGTTTTTTCGAAGATTGCTTTTGCTCTTCATCGTTGTTTGGAGATTGTGTTCGCTTTTCGTCTTTTTCTGGAGATTGTATTCGCTCTACACGTTTTTTTGAAGATTGCTTTTGCTCATTATCTTTTTCTGAAAATTCTTCTTGTTCTTCATCTTTTTTCAAAGATCGTTTTCGCTCTTTATGTTTTTTTCGAGATTCCTTTTGCTCTTCATCTCTATCACTCACTAAAAATAATATAATCATTAGAATTTCTTAAATGCAACATGATTCACTTACTTGTAGGGAATTTGTTCTATGAAATGAATGTATATCAATACGTAACAAAGTTTATATACTAAATTTGTTTTTTGTTTGCATATATATATAATTTTACTCGATAAAATATAGAATCAGGGCTGTCGAGTGCACTGCCATAATTTTTCTTTTCTCGTTCTTTTTGCTTGTATAATTATATATATATGTATTTATTTTTCGTCGTTTGATTAAAATGAATATTTCTTTTTTTTTTTGTTCTTGCGTATTTTAATTCATATCACGAATATAGGTGAAATAGTACTCTTTGTAACATCAATGTATGTACTGATTTTACTGTCCTCCGGTATATTTTTTGAAGTTATTTTCAATATAACAAACAAATACATATGTAAAACGAACTACACGTACATTTAGTTTTATTAGTTATATTATATAAAAATTAATCGACTTTTTATAACGATTTTGATTTAGGGTTGAGGGTTTTATTGGTTGTCAACAACATTGTATAAATAACGAAGAATACATGATATGCTAGATATAGTTTTCCAATGAATAATTAAGTATATATAAGAAAATATTAGATGGAACATTAAAGATTATTAATAGTATGCGAATTAAAAGAATTGAATAGGTTTTAATATCGATGACTAAGTACATATGATTCAAGACTAATATGTTTTAAATTTGTTTACATCATATTATATTCTTTGAATCATCGATCGTGACAAAATATAACATTATTTTTTCATAATTTCTATAAATAACACCTTTTAATATAGTTTAATATAAAGCGCAATCGAATAAATATAAAAGTTATATTTTTAGAACATCTTGTTTCAAGAAATAAAAGCTCAGTAAAAGATATTTTCAAGTAAAACTCGTTGTTAAATGAATGAAACTTCTACAAATAGTTCTCTATGGCATAAGTTTAATTATATTCAGTCAATTTGTTTTTCTAAGATAAGTTTTATGGTTTCTATGATCAGTTGATATTTGTATAACTCAATCCAACAGCCATAAGAATAGTTCGATTTGCAATCAATATATTTATATATAATAATAATAATGATGATGATGCCATAAATATGACTCTATTACTCTTCAATTCATAAAGTGCAATGAAATGAAAATAACTTTCGATTTTTGTGTCAATATATAGTAGAAAATGAATCAATACCATACAAACACTCGACAAAGAATAAGAGGTAGTTAAAAAATACATGAAATTATTGTAGAACACCGATAAAATGCATTGGATCGGGTGAATGAACAAATGTGCCTTGAAGGACTTTTCATGTACAATAGTTATCGTACAATATGCCACTTGAATTTATTCGCAGCCATGGATCCTTTCTTAAAATATATCATTGATTCAAAAATCGAGAAGAAATGATATTAAAGGATCAAAATAACTTTTTATGATATTAAATCAATAAGTACGCGTTTTTTTCAAGTATCAATCAAACATAAATTGTATAATTAGAGAGAATATTTGTTCAAATCTTTACTATTATGAATATTGCAATACAAAGTTATATATCTATAATCACGACTAATAATTTTAAAACGCATTTTTTATAATAGTGGAAAGAGTAAAAATTTTGTTTCATTATAATAATATTATTTTTCTTGAAAATTAATTTGAAGTCATATAACTACAAAGAAAACAATAGAATTGTTGGATGAAAATCAAAATATGTTTTTTCTTTTCTTAAATAACAAATGAGTATCAGGTACTTCAGATTTATGTATTATCCACAGGTTTTTCTCCTGCGTGCAGTATTAAGTACTTAAGCACAATGATTCAAGTGCGGAAATAATACAATATTATCGTTGATCTTTCAAACAATCATATCTCAAATTCATTATTTCTTCTGAAATAGTACTTTTATGTACTGAATGTGGTATAAAAATCATGCAGGAGAAAAACAACAAAATTTACCTAGATTTTATCAATTGATTTCTGCAAGGCAATAACAACTTCTTTTATTCTCTTCGTTAACAGCATGAGAGTACTCGCATTTTTGTTGACATCCCCTCTATTTACATAAAAATGTTTTAATAGAAAATTTCATTTCATTGATCACTATTTTTATTATTACATTGTCTCAAATCATAATTATCGATATCGCTATTAAAAATAAAACTATTGTTCTCTTTGTTTGATAAATTAACTTGAAAAGAATTTTCAAAATAAATTCGTATTTAGAAAATTTATCGCACTCTATCAATAAAAAATCTGCTTTTGAAAACAAAACATTTTTTTTTATTTATTTTTTTTTCATATGTCTATCTCACTGAGAAGACAAAACAAAATTTCGTACAACGGATTGTGTATCAAAATGTGTTTTAATACCAACAGAAGCAAGTTCAGCAGTAAGATACTGTAATACATATGGTATAGTAACACGTTGTACAGTATTTGATGATGAACCACAACAATATCGACAAACATAACCAATTTTGGTTTTAACTAATGATAATAATGAACCACAACGTGTGCATATATATGCACGTGTTTCATCTGAACAATGAAGAAGACGATCAAGAAGAATACCAGCAACACCATGACCAAGCAATGCATCACGTTCCATTTCTCCAACACGTATACCACCTTCACGACGACGACCTTTAACTGGTTGATTAGTTAATGCATCAACTGGACCAGTTGTACGAACCTTATTTTCATATATAAAATATTATTTCTATTTTTTCTACTCGACATTTTTTTTCTTACTTGAAATTTATCACTAACTAAATGTCGAAGACGTTGATAATAAACAACACCAATAAATATATCAACTTCAAATTGAAGACCAGTTGTACCACTATACATAGATTCTGTCCCATAATAACTAAATCCAGCTAAAAATATCATTATATAGATAGATAGATATATAAATAATGAAAATCTTTATATCTAACCAGCTTTTAATAATTTTCCATAATAATCAACAGCTGGATAATCATCATTAAATTGAAATGGTGTACCATCATGTGATAAACCATGTAGTACAGCTGATTTTCCTGCCATAAATTCTAATAACATACCAATTGTCATACGAGATGGAAAACCATGTGGATTAAATATAATATCAGGTACAAGACCAGATTCAGTAAATGGTAAATCTTCCGTTGGATATAAACGTGAACAAACACCTTTTTGACCATGGCGTGATGAAAATTTATCACCAATGATAGGTGTACGCTAAAAACAAATAAATATTAAAAAAAATTTAGTTATAAGCTAAACAGATCATTCATAAAATTGTTTCACACTATAATATATGTCTATATGGACTTTAGCATTACTTATTGTATTATTTATTATTTTACTGAGATCTTTAAGATAGTATTTAGTTATTTCTTATCGTTTTTCTTTATAAATGAATTCAAAGATTTTACCATAATACGATACATAATCCATGCTTTTGATTTAGGTAATTTTGCATCTTCATCACCAACGAGTGTAACTGACATGATATGTGCTGGTTCTTTTTTATGATATTTTATTGTTTTATATTCTTGTGTTAATGTATTTAAATAACAACAAAGAACTTCATCTGGTTGAACAGTTGAACCAATAACAGGTAAACCATCGAGATCTAAATGACGCCAATTAGGATTTTTTGTATCTAACGCTATAAGAAAAAAGAATATTTTAATATATTTCTATTATTTAATTATAAATGTCATATTTACAAAAAACAAGTGGATGTTTTCCTTGATCAATTTTATCAGTCACTAATTCTTGTAGATCAATCAGCTATAAAAAAAAAGTCATAGTTCATATTTAATTCTATTCGAAAAATGCAATTCTTACTTCAGATGAATATATAGCACCATGAGCAAAACCTCGTTCAACAGAACTTTTATTTATAACCATAGCATCTTCCATATCATATCCCTATATAAATAAAATAATTTATATACTTTTAAAATATGATTATATTTATTTACTGTGTAAGAAAGTACAGCAACAATTGCATTTGTACCCATTGCATAATCATCAAGTGCAAATTGATTATAAACACGTGTTCGTATTAATGGAGCTTGTGGTGTTGTAATATAATATAATTTATTATCATTTCGTTTTCTATATGCTAATGTAGGTGTACCCATTGTTTGTTTACCCATCTGACATTGGTACATATTACGTGGTGATTGATTATATTCACTAAATGGTGTTAAACTAGCTGTTATAGATAGAAAATTATATTGTGTTAATTCTTGATGAGTTGTATGCTAAAAAAAGTAAGAATAAATTTATAAAAAAAACAAATATAAATAATAGAATGTTTATACTCCTGGTACGAATTCATCATGAGTTATACAAATACCAAGATAAACTTGTTCAAATGTACCAATATATTCAGTTGTTTTTGTTATTAAATTCATTACTGGTCGAATCAATCGAGCTGGTGTTGAAAAAAGAAATAAACCTGGATAGAGTGTATATAAACCATGAGTTTCTTTTGGAATTAAAACAATTTCTAAATGTTCTGATATTCCAGAACGACGACGATTTCCTGTTGCTTTATCAAAACGAAGTTGTGCTGCAACTAAGGATGCTCGAGTATCATCAATAAATCTATATAAAGTATATATATTTAAAAAAAAATACGAACAATTCAAACAAATTACCCAACAATTTGTCCATCAAGAATAACATCATAACAATCAATATCAAGTGGTGGTATTCGTCGCATACCATATGAAAGTAATGTATCAACAAGAGCATCTAATGATGCATTCGTTGCTGTTTCCTGTGTTACTTGACATGTCATACATAGATGATTCAGTAAACCACATAGAGAACCATCAGGTGTATGAACAGCACATAGAAAACCCCATGCTTCAGGAAGTAATTTTCTAACTGATGTTGTTTTTGTTTCCGTAAATGCATCACCACGATGAACAGAACGAAAATGTGATATAAATCGAAGAATATTTAAACGTTCAGCAATAATTGAAAAACCACTTGTCTTAAAATAAAAATTATATCGATTTCGATATAATAATTCAATTATTACCTGTCTTAAACCAAGATTTGTTTTTGAATTAAGATTACCCGTAGCTAGAAAATGTTCAAAAGCTTTTGCTATCTGTTCCTTATCAATTGTATCCATTGCTACTCGAAGTTCTACAAATAAATATCAAAACAAAAACAAAACACAACTATGATTCTAAATAATTAAACACACTTACGCACTTGTAGTTATCGATGCATCATTCGATGTTTTATTACTTTTATTTAATTTTAAAAATGTTTCACGTAATGATAATAACCATGTTTCTAATCGTTCCTATAAAAAAAAGTAAATAATTCTTTTCTTTTTTTGTTATTAAAAGAATTTTTACTGAAAGTAATGCTAAATAAACATGTCCAGGTAAAAGTATTTCATGCATAGATGGTGCATCTTGATCTTCAGCTTTACATTCATCACGTACATATGAAAAAAGTTTACGTATCATAAATCTAAATAAAATTCAGTGTTCTTTTTTTTCACTATTAAATAAGAAAATTAATACAAACATTAACATATTAAATTTTGCTTTATCATTTTTTAGATGTATTAATATATAATTATCAAGTAAATAGCGAGCAACATCAGCATTTGTATGCCATGGTGGTCGTTGAAGGCGTGTACGAAAATGTGAACCAACATAATCAATTATGGATTGACGTGTTATCAATGGTTTTTCACACCAAAACGTTTTTTGTAATTGTCGAAGCATATATTTAATATTACTAATAGAAAATAATACTTATTTTAGTTTCTTTTAGTTTTTAAACTTTACCTGTCAAATGCACTATTATTTTTATAAGTACCACGCATTAAATTTGCATGAATTTCTCTATCAGATGTATTATCATCAGCTAACATCTACAAAATTCTTAATTGTATTTAGATTTAAGATTGATAAAATATCTTACTTTAAGTATCATAATAACAGGAATAAAATACATTTCTTTACGAAACATAAAAGCTAATGTTATAGCACCAGTATCCAAATAATGAAGTGTATTTTCCTATGAAAATAAAATATGTTGGTTTATACAATGATTTAACATGAAGATATCAAACTTACAATGCCACGTTGATCATCTGATAAACATCGAATTTGAAGACCACAATCTGTAAATCCTGGACCACGTTGACGCCATCGTCCACGAGACATTGCTATTGGCTACAAATAAAAATAAAGTAATTTTAGTATTTTTCTTTTAGATTTTCGACTAACATAATTTCTTCTTGTCATTGTTAATAAACGTAAAATACGTTCATATCCTTTAACTATAAAATAACCACCATTTTCATTTGGTTCTTCATATTTTGAACATAATTCTGCTGTATTCATATTTACTAAATTACATGCATCACTCTAAATAAAAAAACAAGATACTAATTTTTTAAAAGAAAAGAATTAGCGAGATTGATAAAGACATACTCGAACCATAACAGGTATTGAACCAAGATTTCGATCATAGGATTCACGTCCAATTAATTTAGCATTTTGATCAAAAACTTCGGCATTAATACGAGCATGTAATGTTCCTGAATAAGTACTTTTACCCATACGAGCTTCAGCAGGATAAACATAATGACTGTGTCGATTAGCACCAGCAATAACTTTTGCTTTAGGTCGAGCAATTTCTAAACTCTACAAAAAAATAAATTTAAATCAGAAAATTATAAAGAATAATAAAATAACCAACTAACAATGAATTTTAATTTAACTCGTAATTTTGTATTTGTTTCAAATTCTAATGGTAAGATAGCCTGTAAATGAAAGATTCAAAATTAATAATAAATATTTAATTTTTGTTTTAATCTTACACCAGCGGCTTTCATTAAACCTTCTTTAAGCATCCAATTAAATGAATCAACATGTGGTCGAGTAATATCGCACATTGCCTTTAATAGAAAAAAAGAAATCAATAAGATACATTAAGAATAATTATCAATAAAATTTCTAAACCGGAATAGGTCCATCTTTACGATTGAATGTTTTGGTTAGATATTTGAATGTTTCATCTTGTTCACGAGTAGAAGATGATGATGATGTTGTCGTTGTATTATCCTCTCGTTTCTTTTTACCCATTTTGTAAGTAAAAGATTTAAAACAAATGGAATAAATGAACGAAATACGTTAAGATATCCATGAAATATCGCAACAGAGTTGTATTGGTTAATTTTATGTGTTGAATCTTCCAATCAAAGAACAAAGAAAGGTAATTTTTTTGTTAATTTTTTTCGGTTTGTAAAAAAATAAAAGTTTTATAAAGTTGATAAAATATTATTAATTAAATCAATAGTTTAGTTTAAGACTGCTAGAAACTATCCGAAAGAATTTTGATTGATATTGACCGTCTGTTCCCGACATTCTTTTCGAATACAGAACAAAAAAAAACGCACAATATTCTGTAGAAGCAAAAAGAATGGCGACGAGGATGAGATTCGAACTCATGCGGGCAGAGCCCATTAGATTAGCAGTCTAACGCCTTAACCGCTCGGCCACCTCGTCGGAAAGTGTCGTTGATAAAGTATATTAAGAATGAATAAGTTCATAAGTTTTGTAAAAAATTTCAAAAGAATTAAAAATGAATTTTTCTTTAATAAATTAATAAAATATATATTATCGTACTGTAACGTGTTAATAATAATATGATTGCTTTTTCTATCATTCATTGAGTATTTATAATAAATGCTAAACTTAAAATTGAGAATATTAATTGTCTTTTTTTATAATTGGAAGAAATGTCGAATACGACATAATCATCGGCAGTGACATTGAGAAATATTAGTATTGTGAATTAATGAGCAATTTGAATCATTGATTTTTTCGAACGATTCTATATAATTCAAAAAATTAAATAGATCGATTTCATTGAATTTGAATTAATCGGAGAAAATGTATTTTTTTTCTATTATTAGCTCCTGCCGTCGGTATGTTTTTATAATCATTATTAGTGTAATCCTTGGGTTCTTTACTAAATGAATAAGTAAACTTTTAGAATTATTCTTTCTTTATTGGAAGGAAGGATTTTTTTTTGATATAAGACCGAAATTCTAGAATTGTTGGAGGATTTTAAGGAGATGCAAGTCTTTCAAGTAGTAGGGTGTATCATATGAAGTCGATCATTGGAACATGTCGTTTGATAATAACTTCAAGTAGGACATAGAATACAGATTTGATATCATTTTTAATTCGATAAGTACTACGTATAACAAGACACTGACAACTTTGAAATACAATATTATTTGCGTTGCAAAAAATCAAAAACTATTATAATAGCAGTTGATTCAATACAATATGAATCAATATGGCAAAAATATGTGTACGTAGTAGGAAGTCAATATAATAATAGACGTTTTTTTCTTCTATATTTACAATATGCAAATAAACTAAAGTTGATTTATCTTAAGATAACAAGCATGTAGTCTTCCATGAAATAACAAGTATGAAAAGATAGTTATCAATAGAAGCCTGTGTTATTCAACGATTCGATGTATGTGAAACCTTTTATTGTAATGTTTTTCTTTTTTTCTTATGCTAAATTCCAATCTAAGTTTTGTTCTTTTCTTCTTCCGATCATTACATTGGAGTGGATAAAGCCTTTTACCGTTTAATTCATATTTGTTTACTTATCTGTTAAATATAATATTTTCGTCGCAGAAGAGAACGAGGTCATTTATAATCATCTATCGATTAAAAAATCAAGGGAAGAACAATAGGTAATAAAACGATAGTCATAATTCACCATACATATATATTTCACATGATAATATTTTTAAATATAAAGAAACAAAAAACAGTCATATATGAATATCTGCTAATCAAAGTCAATAAATAAGAAAGAGATAATATATTCCAAAATATCTCTTTCTTAATTTGTATGTATAATAATAGTAAATATATATTTATTTATTTATTTATTAACATTCATAAACGCTTAATTTAACATCATGTACATGATTTGATATGACTTTAGTAGAATTTGTTAGTGGTGGTAATGGAACAACACAACTTGATTTTTTTTGTTTATAACGACGAGATGATACCGATTGTTTCGAATATGACATTAGAAAGAGATTTGTAGGTGGAGGTGCTCGAAAAGTTGCTTCTTGAAGAATAGTTACTTGATTTTGAAAATGTTTCATTTGTTGCTACAATAGAAAATAATTTTTAAATATATTTTATAATGATCAATATACTTTTCTAACTCGTCGTTTAAGTGATGTCATATGATCACCAACTCGATATGGTATAAAATTTTTTACATAATGATTATCTTTTCTTATGGAATTTTCTAAATAAGTATTGAATTCTTCCGATGAATCTATACATAAAAGGAAGAAAAATATTTCATGACTTCTTAATTGTCAATATACTTATACCTGTTTGAGTAATAATTATTTGACTATCGTCAATAATATCTGATTGTGATTCAACATCGGAATTTTCAAATGATGTTGATAACTAAATTAAGAGTAAAATAATTTGAATTAACGTTAGCAAAAAAAAGGTTGCTCAGCAACGAAAAAATAAATAAATTCTAAGTTGACAATCTCGAAATTAATCGTTCAAGGTAATTAACATACATATGTATTCGATCTATTATCAATTTTTGTTGACTTTTGATATTTTCCTGTTACAGTTGGTTTAAGACGAGTTAATAGAAGTCGATGCCAATCATTATTATTTGTTGTTGTTGTTGAAGAATTAAAAGAATCCTTTAGAGATTAAACTAATTAACAAATAAATTAATTCCAAAGACAAACTTTTCTTGAATAACTTGACGATATATTACTATAAACATTGTTTTGCTTTTTATACATTCTTCTTGAACTTAGATTCAATGAATTGAACGTCTGTGTCATAGTTTCTACCATCACCACTTCAATCTATATGCCGTATGTATGTTGACTTACGAGATTAGAAATATAAAAAAAAGCTTATATAAATAAAATAACACTTCATCAACTACTCGTATGCTTTCTTTTTTTTTTTACATTCTCTCTCTCTCTCGTTTTTTTTTCGTTTTCTTCATATCGATTGTATTTTTATGATGGACAAAAAAATAAAAGCAATCAAATAAAATTGAAATATTATTATTCTGAAAAATGTTGCTAATCACATCAAATAAATGAAACGGCAAACTGCTATTTATTTGCTTTCACAAACGTTTTCATATATAAATGTTTTGTATTCTATTGTGAAAAGAGAAAAAAACAAAAAAAGAAAGTACTCTAAATACGGATGGGAGTGTCTGTGGTTTGTGTTGATGTATTGACATGAGAACGAATTGATAAATCAGTTTTATCATCTTTTGATGGATTATAAGCTGAATTCGTATGTGAACCATGTTCCAATGTCCAATTTGATTTACGACGTTGTGTACAATAAACACGATAGAAAATACCAAGACATAAAGGTATAAGAGCAACTAATATTAATAAAACAATTGCAACATAAGCTAAATCTAAAATAGAAATTTATTTTTCTTTAAATGTAACTATCAAGTATAAATTTTAAAATTTTCTACATACTATTATTATTGCGTAAGTAATTCCAGTAGTTTGATATAACATTTTGTTCACGATCGTTTGTTGTATTTTTTAAATCTGAATCACCCTGAATATGTGGTTTTTCTATATCTGATGTTATTATTTCATTTTCATCTGATTCTTTTTCATCAACAGAATCAACATCTGCTTCAGATTGAGAAGCAGATGCAGAACCCGAAGGAAGAAGAGCGCTTATTATAGTTGTTGATGGTATTTTTACTAAATTAGGTATTACTTTAAAACAACCTGGTAAAGTAATAACATTATTTCCTTCAGTAACAGCTAAATTGTCACCATCAAAACGACGATATCGAGTTGCACTAAAACCAGCTGGAACAGCAAGACTAAAATCGTCACAATCCCATCCATATTCAACTCGAATATTTAAATTAAGATTAATATCAGTTATTACTAAATTTCCTTGAACTAAAATAATTTTAACTTGTTCTGCTGGTATCATTTGACGATTACTTAATGACATTTGAACCTTGCGACCACCTCTTGTCACAGCGACAGTGAGATGTTCAACACGATTTGTTGTTTTTAAATATAATGGTAATTGAAGAGTGTCATCCATTGATATATTTTCTTCAATTGGACAAAATATGCGTGTAAAACCTGTAGCTAAACATTTATTTCGGCCAAGATAAGGCATAAAAGTATGACATGTTGCTAAATCTGAATTTAATATTTTCCATTCGAGAGAAGATGATGTAAGTTCAAGATCGTATAATGTGCATAGACCTGTCAAATGAAATTAAAAAGAAAAAGAGAATATTTAAATAAATGCTTCTTTTAGAATAATGTAAAATATACTTGGTGGATGACGATGTTTTTCAATATCAAAATGATAAAGATATGGTAATTGATGAATAATAGCTACAGCTGATTCACTATTATCTATTGGATTGATTAATTCTTTTCTACTAACTTTTGAAAATCCTTCTTTATCTTCATTGTAAGCAGGTAAACGAAGACGTAAGCTTGGTTGATGTTCTAATTTTGGATTAAATACTGGCATTTGAAGATCAACATAAAGTGAAGGAACATCTCCTACTGTATGAGTAGCATAATAACGTGAAAACAATGTAAAATCTAAATCATATGCTCCAACAAGTGATGTTGTTAATATAATTACATTTTTTCTAGAAATAAATATCAATTCTAATTCAAAAGAGTTTTTTTTCTCAAAATTATATTTATTTACCGTTGCACTGGTGTTCGTCCTTCCAAGATACGTTCGAGATATTCTGGAAATAAGAATATCTCTGATGAATTTGTATGAAGAATAAGTAAACCAGGACAATCATTACAGGGATTTTTGGTTTCAATAACTTTTCGATAATTTGCATCAAAATCATTTATATGACATTCTGTACTTTCCATTACTAGACCTGATTTAAGATCAGGCATAATTTGATATCGATGAGGACCTTTTCGATTGACTTGACAATCACCATCAGTAAATGGTAATCGACAACAACTACCATGAACGTATTGAGGTAATAGAAGAAAAATAATAAAAAATATTGAAACCAACATTATAACCAAATGCACTTTGAAAAAAGTAATACGATGCTTTATTTCAGTATTAGATATACTACTCGATGATAACTGTATACGTGATCTTATGTATCTTGTATGGTACGTGAGATTTCAGACAAAAAATTTTATCTAAAGATTAAATAGAAAAATGTAGGCGTATATACATTACATATTTCTTTTTAAGTAGATATTCATAATACTTTTTTGTCTTGTTTATTTTTACAGAATGCAAGAAATGAAATTTTCAATATCAAGATATCATTAGTTATGAGATAATATTTATATTTTTGGATATGAAGATTTTAAAGCACTTCTTTTTGGTGGGTGGTTCTATAAAAAAATGTATATCTCTTCATACTTTATTATAGTAGGCGTTAACACAATAATAAAAATAAATATAGATCACTATTTTTTTCTTTGATATCATGTACATAGAAATACATTTTTCACTTCTATTTATAAGTACTGAATGTTTTATGCTTAAATACGGATTTCGTGATTTCAAATATATATATATATTTCACTCATTTGTGCAATGAACACTAACAAAATCTTTGCAATCTAATTCATGATCTTTTCAAGATTTGAGACATTATCACTTATTTGGAAAGGTTATATGCCAACAGATAATTATTCAAGCCTTATAGTGTATTTTTTCTGCACTCATTTATTATGTTTTACAAGAGATATTACAATGTATCAAGTGCTCACTACTGTGTGACGATTATGAGATAAGATTGATTCGAAAGATGTCACTTTATAACTACATAGTTTTATTAGCTCGTCTTAAAACAAGAAAATAAACTAGTATAAAATTTTAAAATCAAGATAACCTAAAAATAAAATTTCTGGAAAACGTATTTGTACAAATTTATATGTAAAAGCACTATAGGATCCTCTTGAGCACTTTCAAGAATAACGTGCTCACTTGGGAAAACCGGAAGTAATACGCTTCTTTCAATTTTAATAAAATAAAGTGTCACCATACCTGTTTCATTGACAAAAGTGGGATAGTTGAGTTCTTCAAACAAATGACGATGTGATAGCAGAAAGTTTCCCACCACCACAAATTGTTTACCTTGATTGGTGAACTACTCAGACGCAATATACTACATCATACGAGAGTAACGAACATTGTTAAATATTACTCATATTATTTCTTACAAAAGGCTGATCGCGTAATTATGAAATACAATTCTGTACTACGATAAATCAGATATTCACTGCCGACTATTACATAAATGATTTTTAACATCCAATTTATTTCATTCAGCAATTAAAAATATATTTTTATTTTTTCTTTGTAGATCGTATGCAAATTCTCAAAACTCAAAATAATCACAAACAAAATATGCCGCAGTTTCGTGGTATGCATTAATTACATACACTAGCTGTGGTTTATATATTTTATTTTTCCTAGATATTGTTGAAGGGCTCATCCGCCGCACAAAAGCTGTTGGAAAGACAATAGCTCTTGTTGCTGATATGACTGGATTATTTTTCAATCTCTGCATATATATTATAGAAGGTCCCAACCCTGTTCAAGTTTTTGGAGAAATGGTACAAAATTTGATAAATAACAGAACGGAACCACGTCTAGGTAAGCTCACTATATATACATCTTAGGGTATTTTTTTATTATGATAATGCGTTTTTTATCGATTAATTCATGAGCTGCCAAATTCGAATTTGAATTCAAATGGATTCCTAGCTGCATGTGATCACTTCAAACATAACTGCTAAATGGCAGGAACAGATGTAGTTTCAGATGCATATGGGAGTTTCTCTCTCCGTAGTGAGAGAAAATCAAGATGTGGATGAAGGGAGGGGATGCTAAGATGTGGGAACGGGCAGTTTCTTTCTCATTGGTAGGATGAAAGGGGTTTCTATTCCTTTAGTTTGTTAGTTTTTCTTATGAAAGTTAATCGAAAACTAAAAAATATTCTAACAAAAATATATTAATTTTAGTTTTTTTAATGCCCATATATATTCGAACTCAAATCAGGCATATACTCAATGATTTACAAGGTGAATGGTCTAAAGAAGAGGATCCGGACCCTGAAACAGATGATAATGGTAAGAATTATATTTCATTTATGAAATATCTGAAATGAGAAAAAGTCGATTTGTTATTTTAAAAATGAGGATACTAATGAATTGATTTAATATATTGTAATTTTCATTTGAGTTTTCTGTTTTTATTTCAAGTGATATCTGAATTAGATACAATGGAAAAGAGGATCTGTGAACCCAGTAATGACCTACGCTTGTTAATTATTTCTGGTCGTGTCGACAACGAAAACGTACGATCAAGATATTGTTTAATTTCCGAATCCTAACAAATATATAACGTGAACAACAACAACACCATTGAACATTGAAGAAAACTCCAACAAAAAAACACAATTTTGCATGAGGCGTAAATTTTTTCTTCGATGTAAAAAATTGTTCACTAGACAAGAAATTTATATTTTTATACATTTTTACGCCTATCTTCTATCAATAAAATCAATGAAATCATGCAAAAAAATTAAACTATTTAATACATTTTTTAAGAAAATATTAGTTTTATTGAGCTGGACAATTTGATTTGAAACTACAATCAGTAATCACTTTTGTACCGTCTTTCAAAGTAATTGTATAAAAATCTACAGATATATATCTTTTTTGTTGTAAACTTTGCAATTCTATTTTTTATACTATAGTAATAGTTATTGCTATGAAAATCTATTGTAATTGATGAGAATTATTTGATATAATGAGAAAATTAGAAGACTGAAAGTTCTCTTCCATGTCTAAGCAGAGATATAAGTTGTACATTTATTTTTACGATCTTTTTGCAAACAATATTATAAAAAAATCTTCAACTATTTGAATGTCAAATTATTTTCAAACTAACATGTTTATTAATTTCTCTTTAATATTCTAAAATTATCTGAGATTTAAGCGATCTATCTATTGTTTTTATTACTCTAGCTAAACCACTTTTAGAAAGTAAAATGTAACATCTTGTCTTGATAAATGATATTGATTCATGTATATCTTTTCTAACATTTTCATGAATTCATATTCAGTCTACTCAAATCCTTGTATATTCTTCAGAGTTCATATCAAAACATGTTATCATAGTCTCGCAGATTTTACATTTCATTATTAATTTGTTACGTTTTCATATTAATCACACTCGAATATTTAGTATTTTGAGAGCAGTGTTATTGTCAATCATCTTTACTGTTTCAATTTCATGAAATATTGAAATCATTAATATTCACAAAAATCAGTTTGTACCATAGATCACTAACAATTAATTGAGTATATTTACATAGATAAAACAACTATAACTCAATGAAGATAATTATATAATAAAATTTTATTCTTAAACAATAAGAAAAATATCAGAAATCATATTTTGACTCATTATAATACTGAAATAACCGAATCTGTAGCACTCAAAATTAAATCTAATCAATATAATAAACTTATCACATATTCTATTATAAAACAAGTGATTAAAAGTCAATACTATAGAATTATGAAAAAAATGGAATAAAACTCTATCATTCCATAAGATGAAATGAATTTAACTGAATTATTTCGTTGATTTCTTCTTTACAAAAAATTGTTTTTGATTATTACCATTGAATTGCACAATCATTTAGAAATATTATCTATTTATTAAATGAGTCATATCCTTTCTTCTTACTCATTTAAAATATCGATGTTTTTGCTATTCAAAGAGCCAATGATTGTAATATAAAACCATTAAATTGTTATTATGAATGACTTTATAAAAAGAAAGGTTTTCTACAATTTGTTTGAGTATAAATTTTTTTACTTGTACTTATCATAGATAATAATAAAAATAAGTACCGGAATAGAGGAAGTACACTGACGTCAGAACATAAAAATTTTAAATGTTGTCTTTTGTTGTTAGGAAATACGTTCTATGAAATTAAATAAGCAATAAAGAAAAAAAAAGAATGGCGACGAGGATGAGATTCGAACTCATGCGGGCAGAGCCCATTAGATTAGCAGTCTAACGCCTTAACCGCTCGGCCACCTCGTCGAGACTAGCCTTGATATATTATTGTTCATATTCATCACATTCACTAGTAATCATAATAAGAACAAGTAATTATCCCAATTTAATTAAACCTAAGATTTTATTTTTTGAATATATCTTGTTCAGTTCAGTAAATGCTTAAATTTATTATTGATGATTTATAATTGTATATCTTTATTTTATGAATTGATAATAATCAAATTTCGATAATCTTTATCAATATAGAAACATAAGACTTTACCATAAAATGAGATATTTTTGTAAATGATCGCTCTGAATGTAGTTAAGAAGGTATACAATGATTTAATTGATTTAAAATAATCAGTATGTAAACCTATTCTACATTAAATAATACCTCATCATTGTTAATATAAGATTATATTGATTAAAGTATCAATGAAGAATAATTTAATTTAAATTTAGTTAAAAATAGTTTTTATTAAAATTGTATATAAGAGACAATATTTATTTTCTTGAATATATACTTTTCAAATCACACAATAGACAACGAAAAATGATTAAATCAAGTTCGAAAAATGGAAAATTTATAGACTTTTTATTTTTCATCGCTATCTTCAACGACGATGCCATAATTATTATTAGCAGTATTTAAAGAACTTGAGCGATCTTCATCACTATTAATACTATCGTCTTCATTGCTGTTGCTATCTTGTTCTTTTAATTGTTCTACAGCTTCAAAAAAATGTAAACCTGTTGCTTGTGGTTCACTATCATCAACTGGATCAACAACAGATTGTGAACTTGGTATTGTTTCATCACTTTCATCATTATTAGCGCTGCTTATTTCATAATTATTATTTTGCATTGATTCCACATCATCATCCTCTTCACTTGAAGATGGATTGGCTTGAATTGCTATAGTAAAAAACATAGACAAAAAGTTAACTATAAGAATGAATAGATACAAAAATTCTTACGTTTTCCACTTGAATATTGTACTAAAGTACAAAGTAAACCGATTGAAAAAATAATCAATAATGTTCGCATTATTTTTTGTTTTTTGATGAATCTATCGACAATAAAAAAATATTCTGTAATTTCGATAAAAGTAATGTATATATAGAGAGAGAGATAAGAAAATTTCAAAAAAAATGCGATATGACGCCAGTTAAAGATCAAATCCCATGCTATTTTATTCTATTCGATGGTAAACTATGCCGATAGATAAACAATAGTCATGTGATTTTTAAAAAATGTTTTTATAATCTATCGTTATCATAAAAATCTATATTCTTCTATGCGTTATAATGGCGATTATGCTTCTGAATAATAAATAAATATCTGTCTATTACGCATATAATGAAAGAGATTGATATGATTTATCTAAAGTCAGGAAATATCTCTATTATTATTATTATTATAAATGTATATGAGAATAAAAATCCGAGAAATAACTGAGAAAAAAAAGTTCTAATATTTACTTGAATATAAATGAGAAAGCTTTCTCATGGAAACATACACGTGTTTCCTTGTAGTTATAAGAAGAAGAAAAAAAAATTGCAGAATCAACGATGAAGTCAATTATTATTCTTTACTTTTTTACATTTTTTTTCTTTCTATTACAGTTATCACTAACATACATTGCCATAAAAACAGTAATTGAGTTTCTTCAAAGATTATATTACTAATTGTGTACTAACCATTTCTAAAATATTAAATTATATATATGCAAAGCAAAAGTTTGTTGAGAAAAATAACAATTTCTACAAGATATTTTATCTGATAGAAAACAGTTAAATAAATTGATAATTGAAAAAAAAATAGATTGAAAATGAAGATTGATCTTTTTTTTCGCTTTCATACAACAATGTTTTGTTTGTATCTTATTAACATCGATATTATTGATGAAAACATAGTTTATCATTAACATACGAGATATAATTACTCGTACATGATAATTTTTTAAATAAGGTAAAATACATTCAAATTTTTTTATTGAAAAGTCGTCACTAATACCCGAAAATAAAAAAGAGCATACTACACAAATAGTTATAATCGTTTTTTTTGTAAATAGGAGAAGATAATGTCAATTATTATCTTCAATAAATAAATTGTTTTCATTGAATTAATAACCTGTTGTTACACCGAATCCAATAGGAGTACCACGTAATTGTTGTCCACCACCACCACCCATATTCATTGAATTACCACCGAATCCACCACCGAAACTGCCAAGATTACCGCTCATTGGAGAACCACCATAACCACCAAGTCCTCCCATACTTCCCATGCCTCCCATACCACCCATTCCTCCTAAGCTTCCCATGCCGCCCATGCCTCCTAAGCTTCCCATACCACCCATTCCTCCCATTGACATACCTCTACCAGCTTGGTTTGCATAACCACCACTAATAAATTGTTGATAAGAACTGCTAAAGTCTGGTGACCAAGGAACTGTGATGGTCATTTCTGGTTGACTACTACGACCAAAGCCACCACTCATACCAGATCCTCTGCCTAGTCCAAGAGTTGTTCGAGTAAACATTATGTTCTTTGCTAATTACAGAAATATATGTTTAGTATAAATCGACTAATGCTGTCCTTTTATGTATCTGTGTTTTTGAATACTGATCGATAGGTAGTTGCACCGTTAATGAGAGAAATAGTACGGGTGGTTATACAGATGTCTTCGAGAGAGAGAACGAGAGAGAGAGAAGCAAAGAGACATGTAATCATTCACCTGGAACATTAATCGGTACTGTTACTGATGTATATATCTATTTTAACCTTCAACAAAATACAAGACCAAATCAATTTTTTCCATTTCGATGGACGTGTGCGTGAAAAACAATAATATGCGAAGAAAAAAAAATAAAGTAGTTCGTTTACGCATTTTGTTATCACCTATACATTATTATCATAATAAACTACACAGAATTGGAAGTCATTAAAAGAGAAAGAGAGAGAGAGAAAACGAAAGTAATAGACATATTTCTATAAGCACCGTTACTGATTAAATGAAAAAGACATAATAAAAACACAAGAATATTAGATAAAATACAAAGTGACATGATTAACACTAACACAACGTGGCTTTTTTTTCTCAATCATTTTTCAATTTACTCTAATTTAGAACGATAATATCGAAAATGTGTTATATCTAATGAATATATGATTGCTAATAATTTATATTAATATAAAAAAATGAACATGAACAATTAACACCTAAGAAAAAATGGAAAAGAAAACAACAACTTATTTTCTTGTTTAGTAAAAACAAAAAAACGTTTTTTGATTCCATATCCTTCATTTGATAATTAATAGAAAATATGTCCTTTTACACCAATTTTCAATCTCAAGGCTAGAACTATCTATGTATGAAAATATTACTATGTATGTTTAATTAAAACAATGTTATTCAATAGTTAATAACTTTGTAAAAAATCTAGATAGATAAAGTAGTTCTGTACGAAAATAGGATTGTCGAACTTTTGAAGACGATATAGTCTTGTTATATTCATTGAGGTTTGTATTACTCGTTGTTAAATATTCTTTCTATTTTTATTGTCATTTTACTTTTGTTAAGATAAGAAATGCTACAATGCTCCTATCCGTCGCTTTTTTTTCTTTTGTTATTTACCACCGATAACATATTTTCCTAGACAAAAAATTTTGTATTATTAATATAACAAATATGTAAACATGGCAGTTTCCATAGGATTGAAAAAATAGTTTATTCATGTATATAATCATGTTTTTGAAATTTTTATATATGTCATATAAATGTATTATTTTGATATGTTAGAATCGATGGATTTAATTAAATAACACTTTGTTTTTGTTTGCTTATATTCAGAAAAATAATATATGAATTCATTGACAGTTGTTCATGAATTGATTTATATAAATATGATAAAAAAATCAGACAGCTTACTTCTTTATTCAAACATATATATTATTAAGAAATAACATGTGCTTTATGTCAATATAAAATAAAACAGACATTTTCTTCGAACAAAAATGTCATATATTCTAATAAATAGTTTCACATAAGAATATAACCATTTTAATTTATAAAATATATTTGTTGCACATTGAAAAATTTATTTCCACGATAAATATATAGACAAAATGAATGATTCTTAAGAAAAAAAAAGTTTTTCTTTATTCGTAATAGCTTGCCTGCATATAGGACAGGTATCTACAACTGACGAACATGATTCACATGTTACAACATGATTACATGGCTTAAAAATTATACTTCTGGCTTCATCCATACAAATAACACAAGAAGTTGCATCTGAATTTGAACTTGATTTTTTTGTCTCAATACGTTTTCCATTGTCGTATACTCGCTTTTTCATGGGAACTTTTGAATGTGAATTTGCTTTATCATAACAGTTTGAGCTAAGATGTTGTGGTGCATCCAAGTTTTTTTTGAGCGTATGACAAAAATGACACATGATTATCAGTAATTGTAGCGCGTATAGATCTGATATAGTTACCAATGATATATACACGCAAAACAAAAGCAACGTTGTTTTTTTATTCTTTTCTTCCTTGTCGCCTTTAACTGACAAACAATTAAATTTTATAAAATAAATACGAAAGAAAGAACTTTTTTTTATTTTTTATAAAAGCATTTGACAAACTTCTATGTGTATGTATTCACTGCAAAATTTAACCAATAGAAATAGTTTTTAATTTTTTGAATCATGTACAAAAAATAATGGTATTATTATTGTTAATAATTTTAAGTATTTTATTTTTTGTGTACAGTCATTTTTATAATATATATGATAGAATATTCACTCATGTATGAATAACAATAAAATGAAAAATATGATTATAATCACAACGAGTGTTCTATCATGCGTGAATAATAACAAAAAGTACCTACAATTTGAAGGATCATGTATTTGGTACAGTTATATTTATATGAAGTCAAATCTGAGCAAAATCATTTATTAATATTGTCTTTGTCTTAGAAAATCGATAATATATTGTACAATATTCATATAATTTTCCATTCCAAGCCAGAAGATTGCAAGAAAAAGAAAGAATACAATCATTGATAAATCTCTATTGATATTAGATTCTATATCAATTGATTCAATTGAATAACCAGATGCCATATCTGTATTTGCTCCATAATCAAAACCTCGAATATAGTTTTTTAATATTTTTATTAAATTCATTATTAGATTAGAAATAGCGCGTGTGATATATTTTATTTTTGATGAAAAACAAAAATTTCGATGTTACACGTACACATAAATGTAGGTCTTTTCAGTTAAAAATCGACTGTTTATTTTAACGTTCATATTCATCTAAGTTTTCGTATTTAATAACATTTGCTGGTCGTGTAGGTGGTTTAGATAACATTTCACCTTCTTCACGTACATGAAATTCCCAATTACGAATAGGCATATGAACATTTTCAAATGGATAATTAACTTCAAGAGATTTACCATTTGCTTTTTTAACACGTATATTTGTAATAATTTTAACCCATCGACAATATGATTCAGGTAGATCAGGTTGAAAGATTTTTCTGGGAAAAAATTTTTCATCTTTTGCTGGAATTGTTACATGAACATCTTCGTTAAAGTTATCTTCCTCTGGTCGACCATCATAATGTACGATACAATCAATTGGTTGACTTGTACGATTGACAACAAAACATGAATAAACATGTGGTGGTGCTCGAGGCATTTTAAATGGTGGTGGTGGTTTATCATCATCACTATCATCATCTTCAGGACGTCGTGGCGTACCAATCGAAGGTCTATTAATGTTTACAATGCCATTTTTATTTGTAGCATAGCCATTAGTATGGCCATTGGTTGTTGGTTTTGCTAGTGCAGATTCATCTGAGGCTGACATTGTATTCAACAAATATGAATAACGTAGCTAATTATGATAATCGATACAGCCGACTACCTTATTTAAATCGAATAGCTAAATGTATAAAGTAGATGAGCGTAGGCTTATCGAAAGCCAATGAATATAGTGCGCATTCATGCGTTTTATACAACGACAAAAAATGTGCTATTACTGTGCACGATAAAGATACTGTCATATTCATTATGTTTAACGAATTAAAATATGCATTTTTTATTGTTGAACAGCTACAAAATATAAAGATGAATACTATGACTCAAATGATTGTCTGTTTAACGTCAAGTTTAGAATACTTTATTCTATTAGAAAAAAAAACATTTCGATTGAGTTTTAGGGATATTGATCTTTTGTATTATTGTTTCTAAAATCTATGCATGTACGATAACATCAATAATCAATATTAAACGTTTATTAGATGAGCCAATAGCATTTTTTTGTTCTTCTTCTTTTTTTTTATAATAGAGTAAACAGATCAATGATGCATAACAAAAAGCAAAAATGTAGAAAAAATATTCATAGTTAACCATGTGACTGACTAATCAAACATTCTTCGTAGCTATTTCGTGCTTAAAAATAATGACGAGTATTTCAAATAATATATTGTATATGGCAATGAACATAAGTAAACAAGAAGGAAAAATATATAGCTAGAATAAATGCTATTACTAATTCGTATAACAAAGACAATGATACGAATAATTTCTACATATACGTGTATGAAAATACAGACACTAAAAACATAATTATCTGCTTTTTGTCTCGTTCTTTGTCTAATCATGTTCTTTAAATAAGAACCAAATGATCGACAGCTGTATTGATATATTGTTTGTAATCATATAAACGTATATATATAAATATATATTTATACAATAGCTCGTAATAAAAAGTATAAACAATGTCGTTTGCATATTCTAATAGTAGGCAATTTCTTAATAACTCTGAAAAACCAGATTCAACAACAATTCGTCGAACAATTGTTGAACACGGTGTAAGACCAGTAGAAAATGATAATAAGACTCAAAGTGGTCAATCTGCAACTGATGTTGCTATGAAAACAATAACTAAACAACATCAAGATGAACAACGTGAATTACAAGAATTAAATAATAAATTATATAAATATATAGATAATGTTCAACGCTTAGAACATCGAAATGCAGATTTATCGGCTGTTGTTGAAGATTTAAAACGTAAATGGGGTGGTGATGCAGCTCAATTACATGCATTATATGGTCCAGATTTAAAAACCCTACGTGAAGCAATTGATGATAGTCAATATGGTCACATTTCTCAGGAACTTAAATTAAAACGATTTGAATATGATATAAATCAAGCAAAACAATTGATAGCTGCATTTGATGGTATTAAAGTATATGATCTAAATGGACTTCAACAAGAATTAAATATGTCAATTCAAGAATTAGAAAACATCACAGATCGATTCAATCGACAATTACAACTATTAGATCAACAACGTACAAATTTAGCAAATTTTCATAATGAATTAGATGGTTTACAAAATGAATTAATGACTCATCAGTTAGAAAGTATTACAGTTGAAAGTGAATTACAAACATTAAAAGAACTAATCGCTTTTGAAGATGCACTTTATCAAGCACAACGAGAAGAACTTTTATCAATAAGTAATCACTTTTTCTATTCTCATCAATTCATTAATCTTTCTAATGATTGTTTTTTCTAGCTACACCTCTTCTCGATGTATCAAACTTCTATCGTAATGAATTAACTCGTGCTATACTAGATATACGACAAGATTTTGATGTACTTCAACAATCTCAAGCGATTGAATTAGAAGAATATTATCGTATGAAAATAGAACATCTTCAACAAGAAGTTGCAGAAGATAATGAACGTAAACGTTTATTAAATATGACAAACGAAATAGTTGATAAATCTTTACAAACATCATCATGGAAAGATCTTAATAACATTTATCAACAATTAAAAATTGATAATCATCAATTACAAGGAAATTTAGATGCTATGTCTGATGATTTAGCTAAAATACAAGAAGAACATATACGTGAAAGAGAAATTCTAGATAGAGAACTTAATCAACTTCGAGATGAATTATCTATCAAACAGGAAACCATTGATAATATGTTAGGAAATAATATTTCTCTTCGTTTTGAATTATCAACCTATAGACGTTTATTAAACTCTGAAGAACAACGTTTAAATCGATTAGATCAACAACAACAACTAACAAATTCATCAGCTTTAACATCATCATCGTTATCATCACCACCTCCACGACCACCACCACCACCACCATCATCATCATCATCATCATCACGGCCACCACCACCACCACCACCATCATCATCATCATCATCATCACCACCACCTCCATCATCATCATCATCACCACCACCACCATCATCAGCATCAATTCGTCCAAATCAACATAATCCTGTTCGAAGGGAATCGAATTTAACTGTACAAAAAATGGCTATCAAAAAAGCATCACAAGGTGAATAAGAAATGATTTAACTCGCATTTAATTTCTTTCTTTTTACAGGTCCAATCATATTTGATTCCGTTGATTTTGCTAATGATTGTGTAATAATAATATATGATAGATATGCAGGTAATGAAGAATCATTAGGAAATTGGATTATTCGTCATGAAAATGATCAACAAGCACCACAAATCTATCAATTTCCATCTTCATTTGTTCTACGACCACGACAGACAGTTCGTATTGTATCAAAACTTGGTTCACAATCAATAAAATCAGGAAATGATGTATTAATTGCTGATCAAATTGATACATGGGGACAAGGTCAAGTTGTGATAACACGTTTAATTGATGCAAATCGTTTAGAAAAAGCAAATATTACACATACTCGTGTTCCAGCATAATTCAACAATTTTTTCTACAAACTAAAAATCTAATCATTTTAATACAAATCACTGATTTTACATATCGTTCCTAATGTATTCTTGCAATTTCTTTTCAAAATAAATCATTCAGTTTTACGTCATCTGAAATTATAATCTGATTGAAAGTTTAGAGTTTAATATCTATCAAAAAAAGATCTATTCATTTGAAAATAAAAAAGAAAAAGGATATTCTGTAAACTTTTTATTATATTTTTTGTAGGTTGTTGTCCAAGGATGAATTTTATTTCTTTCTCATTGTCGTGTTTGATTACCATTTGACGTTATGTTACTTTGTGAAAATAATAATAATAATTGTCTAGAAGAATATAAATGCTGTCAGTTATCACACTCTTATTGATTTGAATGTATTAAAACCGATTCGTGTATTATACAATTTGCAATATAAAGAAATCGCTATGAAGATGATTATCAAATTTGGAAATTATTAAATTTTTACCTGTAATCAGAAATCGAATATTAATTTGAATATAGCGTCTAATAGTGACTGATTTCGTGTATCGTTAAATAAACGTCCGTAACATACAGGGGTGGCGCGACCGGGGGGTGTCGGGGGTGTAACACCCCCGATCTTTTAAAATTTCTATTTTTTGCTCAACAAAATCGGCAAATTTTCTTAATTTTTTGAACAACGATCATGCTACACCCCCTAAAAAATCAAAAAACTTTCGCTACACCCCCCAAAAATTCAAAAAACTTTCGTTCCCCCCCCCCCCCCCCAAATGTTGGCTGACTCGCGCCACCCCTGGTAACATATGTACTCTACGATATTGTATGCAGATCACATATAAACGAATAATGTCTTTAGATAAAAGTTCTTTGACTATATTCTTTCTCGTAAAGAAGAAACTAGTAAAGATAAATTGTCTAATTGATTATATGTCCGCACTTCAATAATTAGTCGAAAAATAAGATAAAAATAAACGGAAACATCTTCCTTAAAGTTTGACTAAATATAATCGAGATCGGGGAATTCGAATATAGTGTTAATTTTTAGGTTTTTTTTCGAATCAGTTTTTTTACACAAAGGATCACTGTTTTTTACAGAAAAATATTTTTTTAAGGGTTAATCGAAGAATAATCGGGATTGAGGAATTCAAGTCTAAAGTCAGTTTTCGAAATTGTTTGAATAAGTAGTTTACTAGCAGCGAAGACACGTCGTTTCTACGAGAAAGAGCTGAGCTAGTCTCCAGGCGAGCGTTACTTGTATATACATACATGTGTATGTGTACAGTTGCTATTCTCTTTCTTTCCGACAAATATGGAGATTTCTTTATTTAAGAAAATACAAACAATAAATAAAATAAAAGATGACATTGAAAACAATAAATGTGAAAAAGAAAATGATTAATGATATTGAAATGGATTGTTTCGGTTCATCGAATGATTTTTTATCAACAACAAGAACCCAGAACGATGATTCCTGAGGCAGTATTCTGTGAATTTCCACAGAAAATCGTCAAGAAAGTGACCGTTTTCGGGCGGGACTGTTCGACCTGGAATCTAGTCCTTGTGTTGTATTTGCCCTTTTATCGGCCAATGATCATGACACATTTATTGAACACTGCTGTCATTTGTTCTTCCCGGTAGGTAAAGTGAATATAAACAATGTTGGCGAACATATGCGTCTTACATCACTTGAATCAACTATTACGTAAGTTGATCTAATATTTAGAACGTTTAGAAATAAAATGAAATCGATAATATCTGATATACTATGGAAATAAGCAGTTGTTACTCCTATTCTTTGAATCATCTAAATAAGACATATCAATTTATGAGGTACTGAAATCGTTTTTTGCGGTCATTTATTTATTTGTATTCTATCCAATGAAGATTTTACTTTGTGATATAAAAGACAAATTTTTTCTTCATCTTGCATTAGACAGAGAATCATGAAAATAAATGAATTTTATTTGTAGTGGTGTCTTGACATTGAGTGCATTTAATCAATGGTCAGGTATGATCGACTTTCAAACTCACATTGATTCGCTTCGCGATGGTGTTCATGCTGATATCCAAAATCAATCATATTATTATAAGCAGCTGTTAAGGAATGTATTGTACAGTTTATCTTGGCAGCACTGAAACCACCATTTAGCGGTGTATTCAACATCGATTTACTGGTAGATGTGTATTCAGGAGAAAAAAATGATTTCATTATTCTGGTTCAAAATGTAACGAAATTTAACAAATATGACATTATAATCGGTGTTTCATCTTTGAGTTTCAATAGCAACGACCATTCGTTTATGATAGTTGATACCACACTGGCAGGTAATCAAAATAAAGCGAAATAGTTGTATGTTGTTTCAAAACAACACGAATGTTGAGAGAAAACTGAGACATACTATCATTACAGCTTCCATTAGCATCGAAAGTTCAACATATCATTTTTATAAATTACATTGTGTGATCGTATTTTATATGTGAGAAGTTTAAACAGTATCCGCCAAGGAAAGATGTATACTGGAATGAGTTTTTGCCTTTCTAACTAATAATACCTGTAAACAAGTAGAAAAAGTTCATATAAATCAACATTAAATGCAATTATAAAAACAATGTTTTGAAACAAATATTCATTACTCAATAAGCTTATGATTCTAGATTATTGTTAAAGACAATTTGTTTCAGCTCTTTTCAACATGTATTATACAAATTTATCTAGTTTTAGATAAAACTGCTGAGGAAATCGACTATATTGTTAAATCAAAAGATCATTTTCGTTCAAGAGCTATCAAACTGGGAGCGGTGGAAGTCGTAGAAGATCGAGCAATACATTTGCTCAACAATGCAACATCGTTATTGGCAAGAACAATAATTGATGAAACGAAGCAAACTCCTCTTAAACCATATCATTCTGAGATATTTCAGGTAGAAGTTTTACGTTCACATGCATTAACCTGTATTTTTCAGAAGACAAAACTAATACTGCTTTGTTGTTAGTATCATTCAGCCCGTTAATTTGATTGTAATAATATGACATCATTTTGATTTCATATCATTCAATGATTATAGGAATAATGATTGAGTTTCTAATAGATGAAACATATGACTCTTATGTACATTGAACTTTGCGTATTCTTTAGTATGAGTAATCTGATAGTCAAACTCCTTAGATTCTATCGAGAGATTATCGACTTTGGTGAGATGAGTTCGATCTGGGCTTGTTTGGAGTGACAAAAAGATAAAATCAAAGTGACTCCTTGACTCTACTCACAAGACGTGCTTTGTAACAACTGATCATCATCCATGATTGATATTATTTAAAGAGTCATCTCCAATCTTATCAATAACTAAACACATATTATATCTAGATTGTAATGTCATATTATTTTGTAGAGTTTGCAATCACCAAATGCCAACAAATAACAATGACAAACTACCGTGAATCAATCGATCACCTTTCTTATCAGAATATCTTTTTAACAAGAAAAAATTATTTTTCCATATTATTGTTCATTCGTTTCATATATATTTGCGATGAAAATAAATAATATGTCATTACTATCGTTGAAATGAATGATTCATTGCATGAGACATTTGTTTCTAGATTACTCATGAGAGATGTTTGAACTGATGACTGTTCGTTCAGTAAGAGTAACTGAGCACGACGAATTTCTTTGACCGATAAACATGATAAATAGTAAATCGTATATTGCCAGGGTGTGGGTGTCGTAAATTTATTATTTGTTTTTCTGATCTTCACCCACACTCTCCAATTATTTTAATACTAATTACTGATTTTACATATCGTTCCTAATGTATTCTTGCAATTTCTTTTCAAAATAAATTATTCAGTTTTATCGTCATCGGAAAATATAATCTAATCGAAAGTTTAGAGTTTAATATCCATCAAAAAAGATCTATTCATTCGTAAAGAAAAAAGAAAAAGAAAAAGGATATTCTGTAAACTTTTTATTATATTTTTTATAGATTGTCATCCAACGATGAATATGATTTCTTTCTCGTCGTCATGTTTGTTTACGATTTGGAATGATTCCACTTTGTGAAACTGATAATGACTGTCTGTAAAGAATATAAATGCTGTCGTTTACCATATTCTTGTTGATTTAAATGTATTGAAATTAGTTCTTCTACTACATTATTTTATTGATCTAATACGACACTATAATAAATTTACGAAGCGTCTATAACATTATATATCTCTTAATAAAGAATGATACAATTAAAACATGGTCATATCGTTTCAGCGCCATCTAGCAAGTATCTACCTATGGTGAGCGATACCACTAATCATCGTTAAATTGGGTATTGCTGACACTGAAACGAATTTTGATTAGATTCATACCATAATTTTTCTTTGTTTAAACAGAATACATGAAATTATATTAGTTGGAAAAATATATAGATAATTAAAGTTTTATATTGATCGATTCTAGAGAAATAATATTTTTCTCTCTTATTATGTCTGTTCATACACCAGATGTAAGTAAATAGAATCTTATTGATATAGAAGAATTTTTTCTTCTTGTAATAGTATAGCGAAGATAATTCATTTGACAATCATTCATTAGATGAAGACATCGAAAATGAATTAGTTGAATCAGAAGAAGATGGTTTTGCTGATTATGTTAGTCGTTTGGAAACCGAACAAAATGAAAGATTACAAGAAGAAGAAGATGAACTTGTTCGATTATGGAAAGCAAAAAATACTGTATTATCACGATTAGAAGGCTCACAACATCCAATATCTTCACCTATTGATGATAATGGTTCGATTTCAGAAATTGAATCTCGTTATGATGATAATGAATCAATTATATCTCGACAAACAGATTATCCAAAAGTAAATTAATATTTCTAAAAATAAATCTATTTTTATTTTTTGTTATCTTCTTTTTAAGCTTGTACCAAGAGATGAAGTATCAAAAAGTCCACGTATTATTTTTTCTACACGTTTACATAGTAGGCAATCAAATCCAATAACAGCTTCATCATTTGTTAATCGAAATATTAATAATGCATCTTCCATGACATTTGATGATCGAAGTTCTGGCGTAGGTAGTTTAATACCTAGTCCAGTTCATAGTCCTGTTGTAAGTATAATTTATTGTCTAAAAAAACGTATTAAAAAATATAGCGAATTTATTTAAGATATGGCGTTCAGAAAAAATTCTTGGTCGAGGTTTATGTTCAGCATTAATTGATTATAAACGAATGAATACTGAAGAAGTACATCCAGTTAAACGACATAATCGTAATGATACTTGTTCAGAAATTGATGTATTTAAAAATGTTAGTAAATCGAGTGAACAAGGATTTTTTGCAAATATGCGTGCACGTATGGAAGCTGCAAAAACTGCAAGTTCAAATAATACTCCAATAAGTTTTGATGATCAATATGTAAATGTACCATTATTAGCAAATACAAGAAAAACTCATTTTGATTATGATGAAGTTTGTCTTTTGTTTTTCGAAATTTAATTAATATTATTTTGATTTTTATTATTCATAGGAATTTGAATATCATCAAACATATGTTTTACCAAAGTTAATTCAAGAAGAAAAAGAAAGACAAAAACAAGAAACAACTGTAGATTTTACATTTAAAATTGGTTTAGATGAACCAAATACAAATACAAATTCCGATGTATTAAATACTGAAGATGAACCACATTTAACTATTATTGTTGATAATAATAATAGTGGATTAAAACGTGTTTGTGCAATTTTTGATCAATATCAACTTGTTTGTATGTTAAATTTTAATTGATAATTGTATATATTTTCAAATAAATATTTATTTATTTAGATGATCGAGAAAATATTGTGCAGGATCAATGGCTCTATGGTCTTCAATCATATACATGTCTTCTTAAACAATCAGTTAAAATAGTTAATTCATCAGTAATGAAATTATTACAACAACAATTAAAACATAGTGATACATTTTGGCTTTCGAATGGCTTAAAAAAACGACCAATATTTAATGATACTTTTTTTAATATTGGTATGAATGTATTTATTCTTTTCTACTTTGAAAAAATCGATAATTAGTATTATTAAAATTAGAATTAAGACTACTATAACAATATATATCTGTTTTTAAACGAGAATCAGATTTATTAACTTCAATCATAGTAAATTTGTGAGACGTTTTCATTTCACTGAATTCTGAACGCTTTATTTTATAAGTGAAGATCACTTGACTTCATTATTACAAAAAATTTGATCGTCATAATTCTGATATTGTTAGTTTCTATAATGTATCATTCAATTGTATGTCTTATCTAAATCTGCTACGAGTACATTTTGTTTTTTCATAAAATCATCTTGAAATTAAATTTTTTGATTTTATTTAGAAGACCAACCGAATGGTATCCCATCTTCATCTACAGCGAACAATCCAACATCAGGATGTGCTAATGAAGCTGAAACATCTGATATTCCAACAACACGTCTTAATAAATTTCGTCAATTAGCTCGTTGTTTTTTTTATATTAATTGTCAAATGCAATGGTCATCAGGTGCATTAGTAGCTATGAATTCATTTTCACCACATGAAAAATTATCTAAATTACCATATCAAAAATGGCAATTACGTTTTTGTGAAGATTGTGTTGATTTTATTTATCAGACAAAAGAAAAAGCAAATCCAAGGCATGAATATATTAAACGATTACAAGCAAATTTTATTGATAAGAGTGTTGTTATAACAACAAATAGTGAAGGCTTTGTTCTCTATATTCAAATGAAAGGCAATGTTATGGAAATGACAAGTAAGTTATATTTAAACACAATAAAAAAATCTAAACTCATTATATAGTCACAAAAACTTATACTTTAAATTCTTATCTCTACTTCGGAAGAAAATAATTCTCTTTGTTTAATATTAGATAATAATACATTGAATTATTTGTTATCTAGATTTTGAACCATGGTGGGTATCACGAAAACTTCGTGATCAAAATAAACCTGTTATGTCACCACGTCAAGCTGTTCAACGTCAACCTAATACTGGTAAACCTCAACCATTTTGTTCAACAATTCGTATATCTATTAAAGTATCAAGAGTAAAAGATAGTTCACAACGAAAAAATGGTGGTCGATTTAAAGATCAAACTCTTGAAGAATATGAATTTCGTATGGATTGTATACTTACTAATAATATTCGTGTAGCATTTCGTGAGTTTCTTGCTTTTTTTTATCGTCATCGTATACAAATTTGTTTTGCTGGTTCAATAACTGAATATATTAAGCCACGTTCAGATTATGTTGAACGACCGATATTTAATTCATTTATAAAAAATTATTCTTGGCAAATGTTATTATCCATTGGTTATCTTTTTCAACAACGAGTTACACAACAATTTATTGATTATTTAAAAACTGTTGAAATAGATAATATATTTTATCAAGTAAAAGAATAACAAACAAATTTACATTTTCTAATTCATGTTTATTTAGATAACACTTCATATGTGGCGTCGAGCAAAAGAATATCATTTTCTTGATATTGATGGAGAACTTATGAAACATGTTAAACGTCTAGAAGAAATTGGTCAAGAAAAACGAGCAGCACCATCACATGTAACATCATTAACAAATCCACCACCAAATAAGGCTTATGCACCATCAGTTACATTAACACCAACGACTATATGTGTTAAACCATTCAAATTAGTTAAAACAAATCGAACTATACGTGAACCAAAACTTGGTGGCTCGTTGAATTTTTGTTTGGGTTAGTTTTATATGTATGAGAAGATGTTATAATACGAATCAAAGTCAATTCATACATAGATCAGAATCCGTGCGTAATTTAGAATATTATTAGATCTGACTCTTTTATTCATTATTGAAAACGAAAGTATTTGAATTTGCTATATTTCTAAGATAAAATATCATAAAATCAACTACAATAGAAAGCAATATTTTCGAAGTTAATTTATATAATATTAGAATTTAGAAATTTTATTTTTCTTATGAAATTTTAGTTGAAATACGAGAAGAAACTGGCGAAGCATTACTTGCAAGTCATTTCAGTACACTTCGTGGAAAATTTGAGAATTATCTTAAATATGGCTTTAAATTGACAAATGATCGTTTATATCGACATCTTCATCATTCCCAATCACAATTGAAAGAAAAACAATATTGGTTTTATTGGCATGATGAAAAAAATAAAACGAATTTATCATTTGAGGATGCTTATAAATGGATGGGTGATTTTGCACAAGAACGTGTTGTTGCTAAACATTCAGCACGTATTGCTCAATGTTTTACAAGTTCAGATGCAACAATACGTGTAAGTTAATTTCATAAAATTTATTATTATAAAATAACTTTTTTTATTAACAATAAAAGGTTCCAACACAAATGACTGAAGTAATTGATGATGTCGAACGAAATGGTTATATATTTACTGATGGTGTTGGTACATGTTCAACACAACTTCGTGATGAAATTTGTCAAAAAATGGGTTTTAGACGTAAATTTAGTGTTATGCAAATACGATATGGTGGTTGTAAAGGAACAGTATCAGTTAATCCAAACTTAGATTATACAGAAAAACAATTAATTTTACGTAAATCTATGCATAAATTTATTTCAACACATGATGTACTTGAATTATGTAAAATATCAGCACCACGTATGTATTTATTAAAATAAAAATAAAAATAAATAGTATAAATTTCTTTATATTAATTTAGGTCCTCTTCATCTTAATCGTCAAGCAATAGCATTACTTGAATCTCGTCTTATTCCTCATTCAACTTTTCTTCTTCTTCAAAATCAACATTTATTATGGCTTGTTGAATCTTTACTTTATTTACCATCGACATATGAATTACTTAATGAACGTCTTTCTCAACAATTTCAATTACGTGATCTTATGCTAACTGCTCATCTTGATCTTATTCATGAACCATTTTTTCGTCAATTAATTACAACTATATGTAAACTTGAAATTAAACGTATTCAAGTAAGATAATAAGAAAAATAGAAATTCCTCGTTACCAAAGATCTTTTTCTTTCTATTTAGGATAAAACACGTATACAAATGTCAAAGAATTGTGGTCGTAATCTGTTCGGTATTGTTGATGAAACTGCTATTCTTCAATATGGTCAAGTATTTGTTCAATATACAGAATTAGATACTGAACAATTAGATGATTCAACACGACGAAATGGTGGTCGTGGTTATAAGCGTGAGGAAGTCAAACATGTTGTTGTCGGTAAAATAGTTGTAACAAAAAATCCATGTCATCATCCAGGTGATTTACGAACGTTTGAAGCTGTTGATGTACCACAATTAAGACATCTAGTTGATTGTATTGTGTTTCCTCAAAATGGTAAACGACCACATCCAAATGAAATATCAGGATCCGATTTAGATGGTAAATATATTTCAATTTTACTTTATCAGTTAGTTTTATTTATCATATACACAAGATCAAATATTTTCTATATGTTTATATAAAGATGTTAGTTGAGATAAAATAGAATTTGATTGAAGAATAAAGGGGAATACAGTCATGAATGAAAATTATCGTACAATGAATTCTTGAAATATCACTACTAACTTCAGTTCAATATAGGAAACCGAATTCTTCCGAAAACTATTCGTGATCATTATCCTTTCTAGAATAGATATGAAATATTTAAATGACTAATCAGAGATATCACTTGAATGATTACATTAAGATTCTAACTGTTATATTAATACATATATCTAAATCGAAGTATCTTTTACATGAGAAACAAATTTTCGTATCAATATCTTTTAATATTCGAGAATTATTCAATAATGAAAAAAATATTTCTTTTAATCTAATATTCCTTATTGTAATAAGTTCTTGTATTGATAATTCGTATTTGTTATTTATCTTAGGTGATGAATATGCTGTTTATTGGCATCCTGATATAATGCCAACAACAGAAAATTTTGCACCATATGAATATGATTCACAAGAAAAACCAAAAAAACTTGATCGAGAAGTTACACGTGATGATATTACTCACACAGTTCTTGACATATCTGAACAAGATGCTCTTGGTCGTTTATCAAATCTTCATTTAGCTTTTACAGATAAATTTAGTATACGACATCCTGCAGCTATTAAATTAGCATCTGCTATTTCCGAAGAAGTTGATGCTGGTAAAACTGGTAAACATCCATTAACAGACGATGAAATAGGTGAATTATCTCGTAAACTTGATAATGAACGAGCAGATTTTTTTAATCGACCAAAACAATTTGATCTTTATGCATCATCAAATGCTATTGGTAAAAAAAACGATCGAAATACCATTGTTTTTTTACTAAATTCAATTTGATTTTCTTTTTTATTCCAGGTATCTTATTTCGTGCAATACGTCGTTCAGAACCTGGATGGGATAAAATTAATCGTTGTTTACATACAAAAACTACTGTTGGTCTTATACAATCATCACATATAAGTGCACATCTTCATGTTGATCCATTTTTAATTCATCCTCTATCAAATTTATATCGTAATGAAGCTGAAGAGCTATTTAAACTTTATCATGATCAAATAAGTGATATTATGTATGTATATCATTTTCATTCTGAAATTGATCTTATATGTAAATTTGATTCTCAACAACAAACAATGTCGAAACAATTCGATATAGCTGATTCAGCTCAACTTGAATTAGGTCATTTAATAAATCGTATAAAAAGTTTATTTAATGATTGTCAATTACAAAATCATCATTCATTCAAATGTTCATGTGATGAATGTGATCAACATCGAATGGCACGTGCATCCGCTTGTTATATTGTTACATATGGACAACAAAATGCAAAAAAAATTCTTTCATTTGCTTGGTTATTTTCATCATGGTTAGTTAAATTACGACGAATGAACTTAGAAAAACAAAAATTATTAACTCCACCATCAAATTATTCTCTTGTTGGTCAAGCATTTCTTCATTCATTTTTATTATTAGTAGAAAATCAAGCGCTTCGTTATCTTGTTGATTTTAATACGAATTCAAATAAACATACATGTTTACTTCATTTTAATTTTGATGTACGAATGAAAAAATCTATTAATAAACGTGTTCATCTTATGGAATGGGCTATGTTAGAAATAACAACGGGTTGGTTAGATAGACAAGATATATTTTCAATAAAAAAACATGCATCAAAAACATCAGCAAGACCAACTATACTTTTACGTACATGGAAACATATTGCCGCACAATTTCTATTTGATAAATATCGACCAAAAACTTGTTCAAGACTTTTACTTGCACAAAATAGATTTGTATCAAAAGAACAAATTACAGTTACACATGATAATGGAACAACAGGTTTGATATTTATTTAATTTTTCTTCTTCTTCTTTTTATTATTAATAAATAAAAATTTGTTTAGTAACTTTGGGATTACCACAATTTGCATCATCACCATCGATATCATCATTTCCATCTATTTCAAATTGGTGGTCAGATGAAATGGCTTGTAAACTTTATAAATTATTGTTGAATTTAACTGCTCAATGTTCTCGTACACATCCATTAAGTTCATCATCAGAACGAATGGATATGGCTCATCTTAATGAATATTTAACACTTGGTTTGCTTTCTATTGCTGCTGAAAATGAATTTGGTAATATAACATGGCATTGAAATGATTTGGAACTTAATTTAACATCAGATTTCTTATTGTGTGTTTATATCTAGTTTGATTTATTTTGATATAGAGTTATTTCATTTGTATTGTATCTATAGTTTGTTTATTTTGGATAATGCTTTTGTTTTTTTTGTGCTATTAAAGTGTTATTTTTCATGAGATTGCTAATAAAATTTTGAAACGAATGTCAAAGTTAAAAAAAGTTAACTTTATGATATGTATAGTCGAATATTATTTGATTTACTGATATATACATGATTTTGTGAATACTGAATAGAACTATAAAAAAATAATAGCTGATTTCAAGTAGTTATATTTCACTTAAGATTCAAATAAATTATCAGTAGTTAACAGCGTATCTTCTAAGGAATACCAAATAATTCTGAACTCGCTCTATATCATCATTTGGCATAACTAAAATGATATATTATTTCCCGATTATTAAACTAACACAAAATTGAAGAGTCTTTTATCAAATGAATCAATAAAATTAAACATTTTATCAATAGAAGACATTTATTTATTTAGAATTAACATATTTAACAAAAAAATTTCAAAATAAACAGCACATATTTATTTCATTTGCTTTTATATGTTCATCATCATTTTTTTGCAATGGTGTAAATGTTCCCATCTCTGTAGATCCTGTGATTATTGGTGTCACAGGATCTACAAGCCGCTTTTTGGTATTCTCTACGAACACCATTAGATATTTAATATGCGCTTGTTTAATCAATGCTTGAATATATGCAATTGCCATATTAACAACCACTTCATCATTATCTCTAAAACAAATATAGTAAATATTTTATATGATGTTAAAAAATAATAAATCGCACTCACCGAATTGTAAATCGATATTTTTTTCGGGCTGAATTCAACGACATTAGTTGAGCAACCCCAGGTCGAACATGCTCTGTCGTAAACGACCGTATATGGACAGTATAAGGATGTCGTGCGTATTCTGGCATACTTCAATGTATTACCTGTCTCAGTATTACGACCGTATACGAATTGCGTATTCATCGATCTGGGTTTTTGATACCACAATTCTATAAAAATATATGTTACATTAAATAATATTAATGCATTATTTTAAAATATTACACATACTTGTTCACCTAGTAAATATCGTTGAGTTTCAAATATTGTAATACCAAGTGAATTGAATAAAGAACTTGTATTTACAATTCATTCTATAGATCCAAAGAAAAGTTTTATCATCAGGATCGACGACTGTTTTATGCCCATAGCAAAATCAATCAGATATTGATCCTGCGTTTGACGAAGTGAAGCTTGAAGCTGAATAACAGCAATTACACGTACTGTATGGTTTTCGTGTCTAAAACAAATATATCAGTTCTTTCTTTTGTTATTATATTATAAAGAAACAATTTTGTGTTTAGTTTTTCTGCTATCGATGATCGATTAATATCCCATACATTTTATATAATATTAGAAAATAAGAAATAGAACTTACCTAATTGTGAATTTATATCTTTGTCACATAACTTTTTCAATATCAATTTTGCAGCCTAATTTATTTTCAATATTTTTAATTTTACAATTCTATAAAAATGTTATACTAAATTATACTTTGTGTATTGTTTTAATATATTGCACATACTTGATTGCCTAATAAGTCTTGATCAGTATCAAAGATTGCGCTTGGAAGTGAATTGAATAAAGAACTTGTAAGCGAACATATAGATTATTTGTTCGCTACTCCTTCACATGTATGATCATATAGCATTTTATTTTTCTTCACATATATATCTATATAGTATTTTCTCTTTTCCTTCCAGGGGCCTATCGACCAGGGAGTGCGTCGGATGTAGCGCCCCTCCCCTGCTTTGGAAGTTTTTTGTTTTTTTTGCTCGCAAAAATATTAAAACTCGAAAAAAAATGTTTTTCATGCTTAATTTAAACAAAATATGTACTACGTGCCCTCTCCCCCAACCTTCGACACGCCCCTGTAAGTATCGTTCACTGTTCACTATGTCTTAATATACTTAATCCTTGAACATTTCGACTAGATTTCATCAACTCTGAAATGATTATTTCTTAAATAATACCATTTGTAACATGAAGCCCTTATTTAATTATCTAAATAAGTTTTTTGTAGATTCTGATGAAGTCAACAAAACTCTATACCGAAACAAATCATTTTAGTTTTAATTAAATTATTTTTCATATATCGTGAGAGAATGTAGTGAATGGTTCAACTTTAACCCTTCGTGGATGTTCTCATTTTTTAACTTCGTGGTTGTTTCGGGATCCATCTGGACTCGCTCATGAAAGTTCATCAAAAAACAAAGTTTTAGCGTCACTAACGCTTTTCATTTGTACATTATAAACATATATACGCTTCAGTTTTATTACGTAATGAACGGATTTCGTGCTAAGCACTGAAAAAGGGCTCCGTAGTACAAATAAGGATTGAACAGAATCTTCTGAAAATGATATTGACATAAGCTGAAAATGACAGATTTCACGCTCTTTTTACTAAATGTAAGTCATTATTATAAGTAGCGCAGATAAAAATCAATCGAAACAAACCGTTAGAAAGGAAACATCACTGCGAGAGAATAAATAGCACCATAGTTGTTATGGGTCCACAAGGACCCGTAGCTATATTTTTTCTCCGTTAGACCTGCTCATGGTTTCTCATATTGGTATTGTGTACCAACAAAAAACTAGAGATTGGATGTGAGAACCGACTGGAAACAGAAACTCTTAAAAGAGAATTTAGTAAAAAGCTGCGAAGTGGGTCCTCTTGGACCCCACAACATCAACAGAGGGTTAATTCTAGCACGACTATAAACTACTACGTTTACATCAATATCTTTGCTTTCATATTAGTGAGTTTATTCGAAATAACATAGATTTTACTCACTAGATATTCTCAAACGTTTTAATACAAATCAAAACTTAACCATCTTTTCTACGAACATATCCACGTGATTCTAACTCTATAATAAATTTCAATAATATGTTTTACTTCGTTCTATCTGAAATGTTCGACCCACAGAATAATGATGATTTATTTGAATTGATTCATTTGTTTTCAACAAATTCAATTCAT